GGAATATTTGTCGATGTCAATTTGGATTTATATGTGGCAGATGGTTTTAATAATCGTGTTCAGTTGTTCCAGTCGGGAGAATCAAATGGTACCACAGTAGCTGGTGATACATCACTAAATCCAACAATTACACTTTTTCGGCCATGTGGAATTATATTAGATGCTGAGAAATATTTATTCATTGCGGATTATGGCAATAATCGCATTGTTGGTTCAAGCTTGAATGGTTTTCGATGTTTAGTTGGATGTTATGAAAGAGGTTCACAATCCAATCAATTGGATAGTCCATATACTGTTAGTTTCGATCGTTCGGGAAACATGTTTGTTACTGATATAGGAAATCATCGAATTCAGAAATTTTTACTGATGCAAGATTCTTTTGGTAAGTTGAAGAAAATTTGAATTAAACGAAGAAATGTGAATAGATAAATTACAGAATTTAATAAAGACATTTCAATATAAACAACAAAAGAAACAAAAATGGTTGAGAAAGGTTAATTAAATCGATGTGTAAAAGGATGTATTCAAGGAAATGAAATGTTCAGATTAGAGAGAACCATGTGTCTAACGCAAACAATCCTCGCCTTTTTGTTGAGTGTAAAGAATAGAGAAAGAAAAAGTTTTTTCCTTAACGGAGTAATAGAAAGGGCTTTTATATTTCACTTCATATTTCATATTTCATATTTCGATATGTTTGATTCAAAAAACATAAAATATCACAACTCTAACAACTGGTGTTTCTTCTTTTTTTGTGCAGGATGAATTTAGTCATTGTGTTTCTCTTTGAGAGAGAGAGATTTTAATATGAAATATTATAGAAAATGAATTTTCTCATTAAGTAATGTTTGATCGATGATCTGTTCTTTGGATAATTATTATAATATTTAATTTCAGAGAATAATATTGAATAGTTTAAGTCAATCTATAATGTGATATATGTAATTGCGAATGAAATATGTATATGTTATTATTACTTCTATAATTAAAAACAAAGAATATTTTCTATAATAAATAAAATCTCTTGAGTTGATTTTGATTAAAAATATTTATTTGTTTAATCAAATTCATAATTTAAGATGATCAATAAGAAAAGTTGATTTTCGATCAAATCTATTCGAGATTGTTCTTGAAACGAAAATTTTATATAAGTTAATTAACAAAATTTTGCTCACATTTCTAAACTTCAATAAGAAAAAGGTTCTCTCATTGATAAAAGATTTGTTAGTTTTACAAATATTTATTTCACTTTTTCTTGGAGATGTTTAGCTAATGATTAGGTTCGTTTTAACAGAATTATTTATTCTTTTCACATGAAAATAAAGATTTTCTTGTTTTATTCTTTACATCATAGGAAAAACATTCAGATCTGAAAAATATTATTAAAATTACACAAAAAGATTTGTTTTATTTATAATGACCAAAGCCGAGATATTGTGATCTTTAATGGACCTTTGAAATTTCTTCAAATAAAAAATGTTCGTACGATAATTTGTACAAAGGACATTTGTAGGGAGATAAGAAGGCTTTTTGCGGATCATAAAAAATTATATTTTTTCTCTCATTTGTTTTTCCGTTTCCATTCAGTACCGATATGACTTGTGGTGGCATTATTTTTATGTCTTAATGAAATTTACTAAGATAAATCGAGTTATGTTCCCAATAATATAGACAACTGAGATAACATATGGACATGTAGCGTCTTTCTCTTCATTATTCTTCTCTAAATTAACTTTAAATATTTATTAGAAAAAAGTTTGAGAAACTTTGAATAAATGTTTGAAAATTGAAATTTGTGTTTGAATAAATAATTCAAAATAAGATCTGAAATGACATCTCTGTAGAATTATTTCAAAAAAAACCAGCCTGATAATTAAAATCCACTCCAGAAAATCGAATGAAACGTTCAAAATTCGAAAGACAGAAATTTGATTGATAAAAATTTCTTCTTTTCTGTTAATTATTTTTCTTCAAATAAATAATTTCTTTTATTCAACTATTTTCGTTCATACAATTTATTCAATTCAGATCTTCCTCAAGATTTTTTAACTAAAACTAACAAGAAACTTTTTTATCTAAAATGATCATTTATCGATGTTTTACACAAAAATATCTTAATAATATTGCAATTCATATTTTATATAAAAATTAATAAAAATCAATTCTAAAATCAATGTTAACAAAAATATCTGTATATGTTTTCATGAAAAATCACTTTCAAGAAACTTTATTTTTCTTCTACGAATATATAAATTAATAATTTTATTTCGTTTAAAGTTCTTCTCTAATATTCTTTCTATTTTTCTTGTTTTTAGTTCTTTCATATAATCAACCAAAATTTTGTTCAACAGCCGTTCGGAATTTCAACGGAATTACCATTGCTAATCAATCGATTGTTGGTGAATATCCTAGCGCCATTTTTGTGAGCACAAACAACACAATCTATGTTGCCAGTCGACAAAATAACACAATTGTAATTTGGCATGAAGAGAGTGTCAATCCAACAAAGATCATTTCTGGCAATTTTACAAGACCGTCGTCTCTTTTCGTAACATCGAATGGTAATATTTATATTGATGATGGTGAGGAGAATGGCCGAGTACAGAAATGGATACCGAAAACAAACATCTTTGTCACCGTGATGAATGTCAACTCATCATGTTATGGTTTGTTTATCGATATCAATGATACTCTTTATTGTTCAATGTCTAACCATCATCAAGTTGTGAAAAGATCATTAAATGATTCTATGATGACTTCAAATCGTGTTGCTGCTGGAACAGGCAGTGTAGGATCAGCTT